GTTATCTCAAGTTGGAGCTCATCTGCCTGGCTGTGTGTTTCCTGGCCTTTTACAGCTGCCTTTTGTATCTCTGCTTCTGTCTCCTTGAATCCCAGTCAGCCTCAGCAGATGGCCGCTCACACTGAGCCTGGTTCTGCTGGAGGTTTCTTCCTGTTAAAAGGGAGTTTTTCCTCTCCACTGTTGCCACAAGCATGCTTAGTATGAGGGATGCTGAAGAGTCAATGAGTCGATGCAATCAACTGGTTTTCCTTAGATAGCAAACTTTGAATCAATTTGACAGCATTATCTGGTTGAATTGTAAAGTGCCTTGAGATGACGTGTGTTTTGAATTGGCGCTATAGAAATAAATTGAAAGTCACTTTACAGAGACAATACTGTCAAATTGGTTGGTAAAAGCAGTGGATTACATCCAATTATTGACTTGCAAGACATGCTTCTCCTTTGAGGCGACGACCTACAAATGTTTTTTGTTGTTGACCGCTCCCTAACACAGCATACTTGTAGCGACAGTGGAGAAGAAAACTCCCTTATAACAGGAAAAAAACTCAGACAGAACCAGGCTCTGTGTGAGCAGCCATTTGCTGAGGTCAAGTTGGGGTTTAAGGAGATAGAAGCAGACATACAGAAAGAAGCAGAGTTACAAAGGGCAGGTGTTAAATAGCTTCATAGGTGGCCCTGTCCAGTAAATATCCAGGAAGACGAGCTTCAAGCCAATTCTGCTAGTCACAGTAAAAGAAACAGGATTAGACTAAAAAACAGGCCAAGCTCTAACATCTATAAACAGAAATGTTGATGGCATAGCTGATAGAATCCAGGAATGAGTCACAGCAGAACAGGACTGGATCAGAAGCTACTATGATAACAGCAGAAAAAGCACAAACCAAGAGGCTTCACTAACAAATGCTGCAGAATGGGAGAATAGAGGTAGAATGAAGCAGAATAAGGAAAAGTTGTCCCTATGTCCTCCAGCAGCCTAAACATATAGCAGCCCAAATACAGGAAATAGCTCAGCATAACTGACTATTTCGGATATAAGAGAGCCAGAGCATCAATAGGGCCGAGGCTAAAATGATTCCCCACCAGATCGGGCTGTTAACCCTCAACCTCTACCTACCTCTCTACTCACCCAGCATCTAATCAAACATCTCTCTGTTTCTGACTATAAGCTTTATCAAAAAGGAAAGTTTTAAGCCAACCTTAAAAGCAGAGAGGGTGTCTGCCTAATGGGCTAAAACTGGTAGTTGGCTTCAAAAGAGAGGAGCCTGATAACTAAAAGACCTGCCTCCCATTCTGATTTAGAAATGATAGAAACCACTTTGTTACATGATTTAAAAAACCAGTCCTGATCAAAAATAACGGCAAAGTTTTTTATTTTATCATCTGAGATCAATTTAATCCCATCCAAATGAAGTGACTGACTAATGACTTAAACTTAGACAATCTTTATTTTCATTTTGTGTAAACAGAGTGTACAAAATTTCGTTTTGTACAGCTTTTAGAATATTTACATTCTATAAAGTGCAGCAGCTTCTTTTTCAAAGACTTTGGTCCAAAGAACTATAAATTCTGTTTTGTCTGCATTCAGAAGCAGGAAGATAAGAGTCATACAGTTTTTTTTTCTCCTTAAAAAAAGTTTCTTATAGATTACCGGTAAGCATTTTTCTAGTTTTAATGAGCAAGGATCAAATATTTATCTTAAATTTAGTCCCTTTTATTGACTTTAACATACAGATTCAGACACCTGCGCATACTTTCTTTATTGACAGTTATGGTACCTCATTACGACTGTATTTTCTGTGTTTTCTTCACAAAAAAATGACTAAAAACTGTAGATTAAAAAAAAAAATAAATGTAAGGAAGCAGTTTTATGATTCCAGGTAATTTTTCTTTTTTTTCTTTTTTACTCATTCGACTGATGTTTGTGACAAAAAATGTTTTACATGTTATTTTTTTTTTATACTTAAACAATCCTTATTTAACTAGATTTCTTGGCCTCTATGCAGCTTTTCTTGCCGGTTTTAAAAATTTATTTAACTTTGTGTGTGTGTGTGTGGGGGGGGGGGGGTCAAAGCAATTACCGTGCATCATAGATTTAAGAAGCACTTTTTTTAAACCTATTTTACCCGACAACTCAAAGTTGTCGCTGTATTATAGCAAGTAGAAAGCACTATTGCCAGTTTCTGTCAGTCGTCACCATGAATTTGTTCCTTTTTGGGGAGGATTGGCTTTTATTTTCCATCAATACATTTCAAAGTCCATCATATTTTAGAAACAAGCACAACACTACCAATTTTTGGTTGGTTCAGTTACAATTTCGCTTAATGATTTTTTACTGTTTGTTTTATTTTTCTGGGGGGAGGGGCTTCAAAGGAGGACATTTCTACTACTATTACTATTACTACCACTACAGCTTTTTAGCCAAAATGAGAAGACAATAATTCTGATGTAAAACCGGTTCTGGAAATAGCATTACATTACAAGGATGATTTGTAAATATTGTTTACAAAACTGTGTGTTTATTAGAACCACGTTATTTTTGGAAAACTCTTGTACATATCTGGAAAATTTCCTGTTTGTGTGATAAAAACAAAATTTTTCGTATTTGTACTTATTTTGTAAAGGAATAAATGAGCTGTTTACTAAAATGAGCCATCTTGACTTTGTCTAATGCTTCTCTACATTAAAAGCACAATGGTAAGAATTGGTGCAAGGCGTTAGATCGCTCCTTTCTTCTTCTCTTTTGTTTTCCTGTTTTTGAGCTCATTTTTAATGCAATCAGTTTGTTGTTTTAAGTAAAGGAACTCAGCTATTCCATGAAGAATCTGCCAGCTCAATCACATGTGCAAGATGCATTCTGTACATTCATTTATTTCTTGGTTATAAACGCCGAAGCTGTCTATTTTCTGCAAATCCCAGCCTGCCTACCAATTTTATTATGTGAACTTTAAGAGATAAAACATTGCACAACTGAAACATGCTCAACAGCCCTGAGAAAGTCAGAAGATGTTGAATTTGCTGCCTCTTAGTGAACTGTCACATCATGTTTGATCCTATTCTAAATCCAGTAAAGTCGGGCATGAGAAAACAGGTTAAGATTATGCTTTAAGACAGCGTAGTTTAGGATATCTGTTTATGGCTAACTCTATTAACCCTGTTTCTATTAACTTCCTTAGAGTGACTGGATGAAGCTTTCTCTCTTTTTTTTTTGCCAGCCATAATCTTCCCTGGATTTGATATTATATCCAAAGAAAAGTTGTTTATATCTAAAAGAGTGGAAGCAAAATGATTCACTGGTTTTCAGCAACTATAAACCTGTAAGTGTAGCATTCCTGTGACCTGCCCCTTTTATTCTGATACCCAAATATGAGATCATTTCCTACACAAGTCACCTAATCAGCAAATAGTCATCATTAGGGATGCACGATATACTGTAATCGGCCCCCTATCGGTATCGGCCTTAAAACTGAATATCGGACATCGGCCACCCCACCGATATTTAACTCGATATTTGATCAGCTTCTGAGTTTCTAAAGTCTAAAAAAAAAAAAAAAAATACTACTTCTTCCTCAAAAACTTATTTTTTACAGACTTAAAAACTTCTAAAGACGAGGAAAAAATATTGATCCATTAAAATATCCCAATATCTTCATATGCTGATATATTGCCATTTAAAAACACCATATCAATCTCTTTTACTAATGAAATATTGCTATATGTCATCGTTATGCTACGAAATCCCCAGAAAATTCACCAAATGTTGCCATATTTTTATATGTTGATATATTGACGCGGTATCGATCTATTTTACTAACAAAATCTCACAAGAATTTGCAAAATATCACGAGAGTTTGTAACAGAACGATGAAATTTCATGAGATTTTAAAAGTTAAATAGATCCATACCGCGTTTTTAAAAATCAATTTGATATCAGCATAGGAAAATATATTTGAGTATATTATTTTTCAAAGTGTCAGAAATGGATAACAAAACTGCTATTTTCAATGATTACTTATTTTTGTCCAGCTTTAACATCGGTATCGATATCGGTTATCGGCTACATGAGTTTTAAAATATCGGCATATCGGATATCGGCCAAAATCCCAATATCGTGCATCCCTAGTCATCATTCATCACGTCTGGGATAAATCTGTTGAGATGCTTAAAGAAATTATGCTTTTGACCCAAATATTAGCTTGGTTTAAGATATGTTAAATTAAATACAAAAAAGTAAAAAGAGCACAAAATGTTTTATCCTAAGACATTGCTAAGCGATGCAGCTCAGGTAAGAAAATCTTTTTACATAATTGCTGTTAATCGTTATTTTTTTTGTTATGTCTTTCTTCAAGAGCGCCAAGATAAAAGCTTTTAAAGAGAAGCTTTAAAGGCCCTTTTAAAGTTAGCAAAGTACCCAGTAAGTTATAGGAAAACCTTTGGCTAACACTGCATATCACCCCAAACTCGTCAGCATAGTGACACATGGTGATGGCAGCATCACGACGATTACCTTTCTGTAGCAGGGACAGGGAAGCTGATTGGTTGAGGCAAATACAGGGGAATCCTGTTGTAGGATGCAAATTACTTGAGACAGCAGGATAAAAAAAAAATCAACAACCTTTACATACAACCAGAGCTACATTCTTAAATGGCCTAATCAGATACCAGACAGTAAACTCATGAAAATGCCTTAACTTGTGTGTCTCTTCAAAGAAGAGTGTGAATAAAATACTAAGATTTAAATTTGTCAGATAACCCAGAAGACCTGCAGCCTTGTTTCCAACTATATGTTTGTTCCACTAATATTGAGTTAAACAGGCCTTGTAGGCGTAATGTACACAAAATTACTCACAATTTATTGTAAACTACAGTATTCTGCGTAGTTTCTTTATAAAAAAGAATGATGTTTGATTTACCTTTATAAACATTTTAAAAACTCTTCAAGAGGTGGAAATACTTTCCAAGACGTTGCTTACCGCAGCCGTAAAAGATTGCATGAGACCAAATTCATTTATACAGTACATCCTTTTATTATCGCAAATATGCAAGAAAAGTCAAATGGAGACACTGTAAATGAACACATGCCCTTTAATACCACAGTCTAATTGTTTTAAACACTTTAAATAATATACATTTGCACCTTATTATACGCTATGAAATGTTTTTTGTAATCCATATGTACACAATGTAATTTTCAGGATTTCCTTTGTTCTTTACTGTGAAGATTTGTGATTTCTCAAAAACATAAAGGTCCCATAAAGCCTACGAGTCCTGACAAGTCAATACACAGTAACTGTACAAACCGAGTCGCCTCAGAGGAGGGGGCAAAGCCCAGCGGGCCGGGCAGCCGTGTAGGACTAGTGCTTCATCTGAAGAGCCAACAACAGTAAAGATGTTCAAAGAGTGTTTCAGTCCGGCCAAGTTGGTCCAAATCTGCTGAGATGCTTAACGGTTGGTGTTTTGTTTTTTGTTTTTATCAGTAACTTCTTGCTCCTAAATGGCAATAAGTGTTCCTTTAAGTTGTTTTTTAGAGAAGCATGAATCAGTTTCACTGAAACGACCAAAGTGCATTGAGGTCAGCTGCAGAGTCGGGTTGCCGCCTGGCATGTTTCTGAGAGACTCATCGGTTTGTTGTGGAGAAAATGGCCCGACGAGCACCTTCATCTCAAAAACAAGCAAACAACAAATGTCTTGGTTGACCTTTCCCTTTGAGGCAACTGGATCCATTCAGAGCAAATCAGAACAGAAACGGTCCTTTAGAGAGAAACTTCTGCTCCTGTTTGGACAACAGAGGCCCAAGTTTTATGAAGAACTAAAAAACAAAAAAACAAGCCCAGTTTAAATCAAGTCACTGCCAGCACCCACCAAGATCAGAGTAAGCTGCTTTTCTTCTGTCTAAGCTCCGGCTTTTGTAATGGAAGAAACAGCATGGTTAAGTTATACACAAATGAAAAGCGTGGAAACTCTCTTGCTTTTGTCTTTGATCGAAGACACGCAGAGAATAAGAGCAAAAGAAGAAGAGTAGGACTGAGTAAAATGCCGCTCACTCGTCTCTTAGCCAACAACACACTGATGCTGGCAGCCGAACTTTAGCTTCTGCTGTATGTAATGTTTGAAGATTTCTGAAGTAATCCTAACTTAGAAGTGACAATATTCAAACAGATTTCTCAACAGACCTGTCAGGACTTGGAGGATCAAATGTTTACATCCTTCATACAGTTTTAAATTATGCAGCGTGGCTCAAAGAGCATCTTTATGCTTATACAATCAAATGGTTTGGTTCTGTTGGATGCCTAATTTCTAAACCCGACGTCCACCTGAAGGTGAAACAGCTTGGTGTTGTTCGCTGGGGGCCGATGAAGGAGCGGCGCCTGGCCAGCTCTGTGGTAAGAAAAAATGTTCAAGTGCAAAAAAAAAAAACTGCTCATCAGGACAGCCTGGTCCTCAACTGTTTCACCTTCCGACTCAACTGCTTTTTTTTTAACCTGAATTATGAACCTAAAAGCTGCAAAACAGAAGAAAATCCATTCAAAAGTATTTCCTACCTTAAAGAGATTTCCTCTTTTACTCTTTTTGGCACACTTAAATGTTTCAGATGAGCAAACTAATTACAAAAATCTGTTTTTAAAACAAAGATTTTAGTCTTATAAAGGGAAATAAATCCATCCTTTTCCATAACTGCAGAGGATTCCCACTCCACGTTTCATGGCAGAAATATTTTCATCCAGCCTCTCTGTAGGTTTTGTGAGTACAAACAACTTGTTGGAAGCAAGCATCTGAGTTGGAACTTATACATATTAAAAATAATAACTCGGGTTATTATTTGTGGTCGGGATTATTAGCCTGCTGAAAAATTAACTTTAAGGTTCCAGACATAGAGCTGGAAATTTTCCTTCAGGATTTCTGCTTGAGAGAAAAAAAAAACATGGTACCCTCAAGGTGTTTTGCCCATTTTACAACACACGCCTTTTGGTCTCATCATTTCACAGTTTTGCAAATTTAAATGTTTTTTGTAAGAAATGTAACAATGTCAACAATGGATTTCTTCTTCCAAGTTTCCTTTCTGATGTTAAATCTCAAACACTGACCCTAAATGTTTGGCATGTCATGCTTTAGACATTGTGATGTTTTATAACCTGCTAAATGTGTTATTATTTTTCAGCCCAAGTGCTCCTAGGGTTCCCCTCTGTGCAACGTTTTCGTCACTTCTGGATGATGATGTTGATTAAGTCTTAAATGGTAAATGCCGCCACATACTCCATGAGAAGCGAGACTTTTTTTTTTTTTGTTCTTTCGGTGGCAAGAACAAAAAAAAGTCTTAAAGTGTTCTTACTTCCAGAGCTGAAGATGGACTGAGGGCTGGCGGAGAGCTGAACGTACAGCAGACAGTAATAAGAGCTCAAGGTGTAAGTTTGGAAAGACCGCAAAAACTTGGTGTCAACCTGGACAGATACACGAGGAGTCTCCGCTTTTCCAACCTAAAACCACCCTATTTAAATCCTGTCCAATCACAGCACAGACACCAAGCCAGACGTTATGGAGAACAAGCCGCGTGGCCCATCATGATGCTGCAGAGAACAAAATTGATTCATTTGAGAAAACATTTCCTATTTGTTCTAACATTTCATCAAATAAGGGCCTGATGTCTTAGAGCTTATCACCTACTTCATATAGTCAGACAGGTCTTCTTATAGCAACAGGTCTGTCTCTAGTCAGGCCAGAGTTTAACAAGTAAAACAACCCAAAAGTTAATAAATCGCCCTTAGTTGTTTGTATTGGAAACACACAGTGACTCTTTCTTTCCTTCACTCATACTTTTGCTCTGATATTGGAACTTGTTTGATTATCTGAAACAGCAGGTTTGGCCAAAAACAAAAGGGGCACTACATGTTTTGGAGCAAACAAGCAGAAATTCTACAGCTGCTTTCCTTTCTTCTGTGCGCAACACATTTGACTATAAAATTATGGAAACGTCGAGTTTTTTTTTTCTTTCTTCTATCCCTGTTGGAACAATGGGACTTTTTCTGGCTCCGATTTTCATTGCCAGTCATATTGCTTTTGCCACATAGCCTGCAGACATCTGAGTTTCTGCAGCCATTGCCAAGAAACGCTCCCTTTGCAAGCTTTCGAAGCCTAATGAATACAATGTTCGTACATCCTTCATTTTTAGAGACGGGGGGTGGGAAGAGACATTAAAATAATCCTATTAGTAATAATTGGTTACACCATGTCATGATAAAAAACAGCAAAGCGAGGGAAGAAAACATAGAAACCGTTTAACAAACAATGCTGAATCCGCTGAGGTTTGAAAGGGTCATGGGGATTCAGGGCCTCACAAAATGATTAAGTCCTTGACTTGACATCCTTGATATCATCCGAAGCTTTCCTGGACCACAGCAGGCCCCTGATCCAACAGAAACAGGCCTGGACAAGAGAGGTGGTTTCCATTCCTCTACATTGTTTTCTTTGTTTGGGAGAATCAGTCCGTAAATTTGTGCTAAAAAACAGAAAGCTGAAGCACCCGACGGTCCAACAGATTCTTTGGGTATTTTTCAAACAGAACGGAAAAACTTTTGCTGCCTTTGCTTTCCTCCTTTGTTTGGTCCTACATTCCCCGTGGAGTTCAGCAGAGCTGGTCAGGTTGAACACCTCTGCTGATATTTATGTTCTTGGAGGGGAGGCTGTGGTCCAGCTGGGGCAGAGAAGGGGAAGGAGGTGAAGATGGAGGCGACGGGAAAAGATGGAGAGTGAGGAGGTGGAGAAGAATAATGAGGAGGGTCCTTCTCATCCCCCCCCATAAAAATCTCTAGTCCAGGGGTTCCTGTTTTATCCTGATAGGGGTGTTGATTGAGAGGCTCCGCCGGTCCTCACGACACAACACGTACTCGCTGAACTGGGATGAGTCCACGCCGCCTCCACACGACGCCGCCACACTGAAGCCCTTCTGAAAAAGACGCTCCAGAACCTGCAGAGGAGACACAAGATGATCAAACTGAACTCCAAAAACTGTTATATTAAATATATAGTTGAATATTAAAGCATTGAAGCCTCAAAATATGTTTGTGTTGATGCTAAGGTCAATCCAAGCTGTTTTTAGATAAGAGTAGATAGCTTAAAGCTAATTCATTCATTTAAAAGTGTAAATTTTATTTTATTTTTTTAAAACCTGTTTAAATAATTCATTGAATTAGATCAACATTAGAGGATCAACATCACCAAAAAGAAAAGAAAAAAATGACACACATTACCAGTTTGTATTAAAAAAATTAAATATTATCAGTCCTAATTAGAGGTGTTGATAACGGACTAAACAGGTGCAGGAACATTTTTTGGCAAAGCTGGAAAAGATGTGGAACAACCCTGGAGCGAAAAAATTTACTTTTATCCTAACAGCATAAACTGAAAATAAACCCCAAAGTAGGAAAACTGTTTGTTTTGATAATTTTCTTAGATTGTGTGACCTTCGCTTCTCTTCAGACAGGAAACTTTTCAGTTGACAGGCTTTTACTGAAGCATGTATGTCTGAGGAAAAGGCTACATTTTGGGAACTGTTCCTGTATTAGGATCATTATTCTGTCTAAATACCCAAAGATGAGCCTTCTTCATTGTTATGAAAGAAGACCAATAGGTTTTTATTTAAAATATCCTGCTGTTTCTAAATATTCACAAAGCCCAGTAGCTTTTAAAGAAAAAGGGACCCACAGCATCACAGCTCCTCCACCGTACTTAACAGCAGGAAGGAGGTGGTTTTCATTCATAAATTGAATCAGATTAAAGCAAAAAAGTTCACCTCCGTACATTTGTGATGGTAGGAATTAAAGGATTGTTTTACATTTCTTTTTGTTTCCGTGAAGTACTTTTTTGTTGTTGTTGTGCTTTAGAGACTGATACTGGTTAATGTCTGCTAGATTTTTGAACAGAAGGCTGCACTTACTTTAGTGACATAACACAGTAATTGGTAGTAAGGGGTACCTGCAGTAAATGATAAACAAATTAATGAAAAGCTTGTCTTTTCTCTGGTGGAGCAGTAGCTTTCTACGTCTCAGATACTGTATAAACAATCAAGATCAAATTCCAATTGAAAGATGGACATGAGAGGAGCGCTGCTGTTCAAGTGCTAAACTTCCTGAGATCGCCATCAGTCCCAACATGCAGCATGTGCCACTAAACCTCCTCTCAATCCAATCACAGAAAGTGATAGAAACCAGAGGGCATTCGCAACATCACACCACCTTTGTAATATTCATGCGACTCACGCCGGATCGGCCACCGAGCTGAGGGCACGAGGAGCTCAAAGGGATGTGGAGAGCCTGAGAGTGAGCGGGGTGTGTTAAGGAGCCTGACTGGAGCTCAGCGCGGTGATTACTGGAGCTTCTAATTTGAGTAATGAGGCTGGGGTGAGGGAAGGAGTGAGGTCCACGAGCAAGAGAGGCAAAGGCAACGACGTGTGGCGAATGACGATAAGGAGCTAGATGTGGCTGATCGGTGCGAGGACAAAGTGTGGGAGCTGCAGGGGAAGAGCAGGAGATGGGGATTCATGTCAGCCCTCTAGTATGGACCCTGACATGCATACACACACCGCCATACATAGGAGTCATCCCGTCCTCTGCTCTAATCAGTGTGGGAAGTAGATTAGCATTTATTCTTTTGATTTTTTTATTTTTTAAGGTTGTTTTCTTAAAAGTTGCACAAGCTGAGGCGTTACTAGTGGTGAAGGGAATCCTCTGTAATTACAGGCAACGGTCCACAGCTTCACGCAGAAATCAGACCAACAGAAACTTGTAGAGCAGTTTAAAGCTCCCCCCATTAAAGCTTCATGTAAATCTTTATCAAAACTGAAATGCAGATCGATGTGCAGCTTGTAAGTCAAACGGACCACTCTGAAGAGCCCGCCCCCTCCCCCATGTTCATCCTCTGGCCATCTGACGGTGACAAACTCAGTAATTTGTGAGACAGAAAGGGCGGCAGACAGCTGATGGTGAGGACGGCTAATTAAGAGACCTGCCCAAGCATCAAACACTCCAGAATCCATGACAGGCGACGGAGGAACCTAACGATTATGGAAATGATATTACATCGCCTTCTTTGATCATTGCATCACATTGCATTTCCCCCCCCCCATCATCTCTTAACACATGTGGGACTCCGTGGTGTTTGGCAGTGAAATTTGGTCACAGAGGAGAAAGGCCTGATCAATAAAGATAGTCTGAAAACACTTTTATGATTAACGCACCGCAGCACAAAAGACTTAAGGATATTATTACAGATGGTTGTAACTGATTCAAGGATACTGTAATGACTCTAAGACGGCATAAAAAAAGTTCACGTTCAGTTTTGTCACAGTGAATTAGTGCCATGGGGGGAATAAACAATACACAGAGTAATTAGGCTGTATCCAAACTGAGGCTTCCAATGTCCACAGGACAATGTCCTGAAATCAATCCCTGCTGACAAGAGAAAGAAATGCTCCACGTTAAAAAGCACAAACATGCCTGTCTGCTACGTTCTTGTGCTACGTTCTTGTGACCGCAGGCCTTCACATCCCAGCTTAGTTGTACTTATGCAGATTTCCCTGCTTACTTTCCTTGCTCGTTTGTAACATAACAAAGAGGTCTGACTGTTAGCTCTGCAGCAGCAATCTGATTGGATGAAGAGGATGATGTTCATGATATGGAATTATAGATCCTTAGCAGCTTCCCCCACTGTGAACTCCACATTATGCTGCCATGATCACTGTTTGCAGTGGCATGAAAACTTTTTCTCATTTTTTCAGACGGCAACAGCAAGCAGTTACAAAGAACTGATGTTCCTCAGCTGCGTTCTTGTTGCTCCTTTTATAAACAAAATTCACTCAAAGTGTTTTAACCATTTATCCAATTAATACATAATCTTAAGACTAGCTTTCACACTGGACTGATTAAGGGAAAAGTTTCTGTAGATGTTTATAGTTAGGCTAGATTAAGAAACAATACCAAAAACATTCCCCTTCTATACATATCGTCAGTGAATATACCATAATGAAACTATTTGGCCTAAAAAAAAGTAATTAAATTAAATTATCCAGAATGAAATTTATCTCCATGATAAACATTTTTATTTATGTCTACATTATCAATTAGAATTAATGATGTTTAAAAATGGGATGAATTGTCAGGAGTTTTATTTCTTTTCTTTATTTGCTTTTTTCCTTCAGTGGAGCGACTAATTCAAAGAATATGATTACATACAGTTATAATCTAGGATGTTTAACGATAAAAATCACACTTCTTTGTCTATCTTGTGCCCTGAAAAAAGCTCATTTTAAATAGTTTTATTTTTGAAGTGCAGCATCAGTGATTGTGGGGCTATGATACAGTCAATTTATAAAGACAGCAAAGAAGTATTGAAGGGTTTTTCAACATAGAACCACAAAATATCCTGATAACGTTTTTAGTTCATATCACCTAGCTGTAATTTTTGGTAAAAAAAGAAGGAAAAAAAACAGCATCGCAAATTGAAATAAAGTAAATCACTAATGCAACAGGGAGACATGGTGGTGGCACTATCATGATGTGGGATCACCGTCTGTTATGAGTGACAGGGAAGCGAGTCAGAGCTGACAGGAAGAAGGATGGAGCTAAAAGCCTGTTACATGCTGCAAGTGACTGCATGAAGCAGAGGTGTATCTTTTAAAAGACATAGATCTATAGGTTTAGATCAAAGCTATGTTCTGGAATGAGCAACAAAGTTTAACTTCAGTGACAGTGGTTTTACAGAACCGAGGAAGCTGTATTTTTATCCGTCAGCCCCAGGGCACAAACCTTAAAACGCTATTTTATTCCAACTACATCATGTTTGAATATAACTTAAAATCTCAGTAAAGTTTATTGATCTAGAGTGGAAAAAAGGGGAGAAGTTAAACTGGTCCAACAGATATAAACCACTGTGGAAGCAAGAGTGCAGACGATGCAACCGAAGTAAACTCTAAATCCATGTTCGACTTCATTACTTCTGTCTGTTCTTTTCCCGCCGGTGAGACTGAAGCTGATTAAAAGCGTCTCCTCGCCCTCTCCATCCCCAGTGATCTGCAAACACGGCTCCTCCAAACAAACGCCAACCGTTCCATATTTAACCAAGTGAACGAGCTGCCACTCAGCCCGAGGTAGCCGCTGTTGTGAGGAGGGAAAAGCACCGGCCCCACTTCTCTACCCTCCCATAAAGGGAGTAAAGAGGCTGAAGCAGGAATCAAAGTGGAGAAGTTTTAGGGCAGGAAAATGGGAACGCCATGCAATATTGATGGCCGCCGGAGCATAGAGAAGCACCTCTGAGGAGGAGCTGCTCCTCATGGCGCAGGATTCAGAGCTGATTGACACGTGTGACACGGGCAGGCTGAAGCTTTCGACGGGTGCTGCACTCGAGAGGGGGGGCACTTTTGTTTAACAATGCAAAAGCTTGACTGGGAGCGGTAGCTGCAGCCTAAGCATGTCATCAAGCAGAGAAGCTCCAGCTCTGCGTAAATCACCAGTGATAGAGACACTTCAACTGCGGACTGGTTTTTATGCAGAGCTGGGAGCAGATGACCTGGGTTTACAAAAGACAGCCAACATTTTAAGACGTCTACAAACACAATGAATCTGGAAATGTGAAGAGCCACCCAGAGAGACTGAGAATAAGAGCTTGAAGTTCCAATTCAACAATCAATGGTTTCCCTTCCCTCTATCATAACATTGCTGTCACTGCTTTCATTCTTTATAGAACTAGACTAACAGAAAAACTACAAAAAGAACTGCTTTTCCTTCAGTCCAACTTCAGATTAGAGTTTGAAACTACAATAAACTGTTAAAACTATGGCCTCTGCAATAATACATCAACAGGAACGAAGCAGTGTGATTCTGTAATTCTTGTTCAGTCTTTCGTTTCCATTAAGATCAAAAATGACTTCACAGGACTTTTCATAAAAATGTGTAAAAGAACAGATTCTCACAG